GCATTGGAATTTCAGTGAATTTCAACGCAAAGTAGGGACTACTTTGTCTCCGTACTCTTCCTACGTCTGACACTTCTAGACACTGGGAAGAGCTATCGCCGCCTGGAAACATTAATCTTCCAGAGATATTAGATGTATCTATAGCGCAAGACTATGGGATCCTCCATAGACCTCAATGCTGTACTCTTTCGAAGGCAAGTTATGCAAAGTCCCCATTTGTGACAGTGCCGCTTTAACTGCAAAAGACTTTAAAACAATGTTTTCATTTTGGAGGACTTACTCACAAAATGCTGAATTGGTGTAACAGTCCAGAAATGTAAATTTGCAAAACAATGAGAAATCCAGCATAAGTACAGCAGCTGGGGCATTTAAATGAATGCATCCGTCTTTCTCAAGCCTCAGAAGAATGATAAGCACTGATGTGCCAGTCAAAACAAAATAAAATTAAAACAAAATCCCCCACAAAAGTTGAATATGTGAGTGCTTTGTTTCATATCACATTATGGTGTAGATAAAATTTCCTTTCACCACAAAAATATTGCATACTAAGCCCTATCTCCATCTCGCAGAATTCTTTAAACTCTAGTCAGATGAAACTGAAACATAACATGTACTCTTGTTCTTCTCAAATTTAAACAATGGTGAATTGATTACATAACACTTTCACAGCTTCCCCCATATCACTCCATTCTGAGAACTTGCTGGCATCTCATTTTCAGCTGAGTTCTCGAGTCTTCTTTGAGGTTAATAAGAATTCTAGTTGGTACATCCTGTGATTGCTAATTGAATAGTGATCTTGGCAAATACTGTCAGCGCTAGCAAGTTACAAAGATTGAAATAAAGTCTGTAGACAAATATTAATGATATAAAAAATAGTAACTTTACTTAAAAAAAAACACAAAAAAACCTCCGTTATCTAGGAAATAAATCAATAGCATTTTAAGGTTGTGTATAATTGCGACATCTCCAATGGTTTAGAACACGTTACGAGCTTTTTTTCTTAGAATGGGTCCAGAGGTGCTCTTATGTTTATCTTAGCTTTATTTCTTTCAATTAATATACCTTAAGATTAAATTCAGACTTCATATGTCTGATCTATTTTTATTAAAAAAAGAAAAAAAATGTAAACTGCAAAATATATGATATTTACAGCGTGGTAACATTTAAGCAAAATGCTTTTGGAACTCCAAAGATGGGAAGTATAGCGGAGGATCAGTGGTAGGTCATTTCCAGTTTCAATTATTATATTCTACACCCCATAGTACAGGGAAGAAGGCAGCAGATGGGCAAGAGCCCTCATACAAACTAATGGCCCTATGAACTCTTGGTTGAATTTTTTTTAAAGCTGCCAACACAACACACAGGGGAAGGTGTAAGGTAGCAGTAATTTGCTGCTTATTGGCTTGTTTCTTAAAAGTAAAAGGTCTTCCCTCTGATATATGGAGGTCTTTTGAAAACCCAACACACAGGGGGAAACAAGCATTTTGGCACCCAGCAGCTGCCCACTCACTTATTTACCGACATTTGCACCACAAATAGGAGACATATTACTAGGCCCCACTTGGTCAATGCAGGCACCTCCATGATATCAATTATATTTACATATTTGTACACTGTCTGTACAGGATTTTAATAACTGGAGAACCGAATAATATAAGGATTTAGTCAGTGCAGTGTTAAACTTTTTATTTTGCACCAGTACCATTTGCCCATCATATTGTAAATGGTATAGAAAGGTTTCCATGTGTGAAAAACCTGTCTACTAGCAAATGAGCAGCAAGTTTTATCACTACTCCTATAGGTTCCTATTGTCTGTGAAGGATTTATCAAATGGAAAAATGACTTTTAGTAATGGCCATAAAACAGCAAAATGTGATCACTTTAGATGTTTCATCATACATCGCTTCTAATATAAAGAGATTATGCAGATGGTTATGTCTGTGAGAGAGTACTTGCTGAAACTCCTCCATAATTTTGGCAACATCAAGGTATGAAGGCTACAACAGAAAGTCTCCCTGCCATACCATTTTCACTTTAGGGTCGTGAGACCACGTTTTCGGATCAATTCTGCAGTCAACAATCCTCAATGTTGTTGTGGTCCTTACAGCACGTGGGTCTCTGTTGACATCTACCTGTTACCACATGGGCCTCCAGCCTTTTGCTTATGACTTTGTGGGACTGTATTTGATTCTAGGAGGGAACCGACCTTGTAATTAGGGTCTTCCAGACCACCTCTCTACTCTACTGAAGTTGGGTCACCCCACCCTAGTTTTATAACCCGGTAATTAATCAATCATAGATCTGCAGTTTCTACCTTTTTAACCATTGCTCCATCTGATTTGTTTTTTACTTTTCTTTTTATTGCTTATTAGTCTAACCTTCTACTACCAGCAAAATTAAGTGCAGTGTAACAATCATGCAAAGTAACTTATCTGCTAATCGACTACCTCTTTTATATCTTATACTACATTATACTACTGGCTCTTTTCTTTTATTAGTCTACTCTGCACTATTGGTTCTATGTATATGTGCTGCTGCTTGCATTCATGACGACTGCTATATGTTAAAGTGATATTACATGTGTACAATTCTATTAGAGTTAAAGCAGAGAATATATTTTATGAGAATGGACAAAAGCTTAGAGGAGCTCAGTAGCTTGCCCTTCGGTAAATCCCTGCACAGTGTCTTAAAATAGTTTTTGCTCACTTGAGCCATTACAGAGCGAACCAGTTCCAAGAAATATCAGACTGATCCCACCAATAAGAGCAGTCCAAAACCGAAATGCCTTTCTCTCTGCATGAGAGATACAACAACCCCAGACATTTGTTTTGGCCTTTTTTGGGCTCAGTCAGCAAGGTGGAGTTGATACCCCTCTAAACACTGTGAGCATGGAGTGCATGTTTGGATTATCCTTTTGAACTTGGGTAGCGCCAAGCCAAAGCACTAAAAAAAAAAGAGCCTTCTCATTGTCAAGCAATATTTTTCTATGTTAAAATTAGTTAAAATGATATATTTTGCTAGCTGGGGTTGGTGGGCGTTATGGGAAATTGGGGAATTTACGGTTAGTGCTGCTTACTGCTGGTTAAGGGTTAATGGTAAAAAAAATAAGTTTATAAAAATATCAAAAGTGTAAAAAAGGTTTAAAGAAAGTTTTAAAAAAGTAAAAAAAAATTTGAATAAGTAAAAAAAATTTCAAAACAAGTTTTAAAAAGTGAAAAGGTTTAAAAGAGTAAAAAAAAAAAAAAAATACATTAAAAATGCTCATTACCACCACACCTAAAACAAACTAGCAGAAAAATGACCACACGCTAAGTTTTAAAATATGCCTTTTAAAATACCCTGGGATGTCTTCTTTAAGAAATTGTATGCCTTTATGATGTAGTTGGAATATATAGCCTGCTAAAATACTCCAAAATGGGACATGGACACAGCGTAAAAATTCAAAGTTTGGAAAAAAAAAAAAACCTGGAACGGCTATGTCTCAAATGTGCCCCTTCAATGTCCACATATACCTGACAAAGGTACATATAAGGGTATTGTTGTACTCAGATGACAAAGCTGAGCAACATATGAAGTATTATACAGCCGTAGCACACATAAGGTCTGCAAAATATACTGTGCAAACTGTGTGTCAAAAAGGCAATAAAAAATGCTTATTACCACTACACTACGCTAAGGTTCAAAATATGCCTTTTGAAATACCCTGGGATGTCTTCTTTAAGAAATGGTATGCAAACATGGCTTGTGTCCTTTTGAAGCTGTGTCCTTAAGGGGGTTAAGTTGCATTGTCTATTTGTATTACTGCAAGTGCCTCAATAAAAAATAAAATGCTGTACAAACTAGGAATGCAACACATAACCATTAAAGCAGCTCTGTCACCGTCTGGGGACTTTGATGGAGATTGCCACTGGGGGCCCAGGGGGCAGGTAAGGGTGAGATTTACCTGAATTTGTCCCTCGTGGGCATGACCATCTTGTACGTTCTTCTTTGATGTCACTGCTGTACTCTCGCGTATTGAGATCTACAGGTCTCTGGAGGATCCCACGATATACTCCACAGACACAGCCAATTCCCTGCAGCCGTCATTGGTGATGGCTGGGGGATTGACACTTTGTCTCTGTATTTAACTTTCGACCGACTAAGTAGTCACTACTTTATCTCTGTCTATCTCTTTACTGCGTTGGAATTTAAGTGAAATTCAAACTCAGTCAAAATGAGTATTTCATAAAGATTCTAACTTTATTAAATACTTATTTTTCAGGTGGGAGGATGACATTTCCACTTGAACAAACAATAAACATTCACAATACAGATAGTAATAATAAAAGATAAAGAGTTCTGCTCGTTTTTTTTCTTTGTTTTTTCTTTCAGTAAATCAATTGGTTTGTTGTGAATGCATACTACCCTTAGGTGGGGTGATAGCTTTTTAATTTAGCGTATAGGTAGACTCTAAAACAAAGTGATCAATGGAACATCGTTATCAAAATAATCAAGTAATTGCAGTGAATTAGACCCTGCTATTGTTCCGTAACAACATAAAGTAAGGTGGATAAAAGATTTAAGATGGATGGCGGAGACAGTTGATAGTCAACTGAAAAACTTATCTCACAAAGGAAACCTATGATATACAGATAAACTGGCCCAACTAGCACATAAAGCAAATGGTAAGAAATAAATTGTGGAAATCATATGTACTTGTAAAGGTTTACAGATCATATAACATTTTGTGATAGATAATTTTACAACAATTTAGATTGTATTTAATTCTCATAACATTCTAGGTTTTTGTTTGGTATGTTGCATTAATGTTACACAGATTAGAAAAATGTTCTCTCAAACCTGTTGTATCAGTATTTTTTAATTTAATATTTAATTTAGAAATATTCAAAGTGTTGATAACCTGGCATTAATATGGTTAATACTATATTGATCATCAGACAGACTATGTCCTAAACACCCTATCTTTTCAGGTAGATCCAGATCATTTGATTCCATCACATCCCTTTCTGTATTTGTCCCTCATCCCATTAGATTCTAAGCTTGTTTGGGCCCTCTTCACCTACTGTTCCCATAGCTCATATGTGTTTTCTTCAAATGGTTTGTTTTACCTATAGTACTGTGCTGCAGAATATGTTGTCACTATATAACTAATTGCAATTGTAAATTGCTCCTGGGGTTCCACCACATACCATTAGTAGTAATTTCACAATTGAGAGACAGAAGGATATCTTAGATTTAATTAGGTCTTTGGAATGAACCTGATCAGAATATTTCCCATACCTTTGGTTTATGTTAAAGCTCTCGAACATATTACTTAGAGTTCCACTTGGCTAATGTCAGTTCTCTGCAAATGTGAGTGCACAGTCATTTATTGATTGAGAGTGGTCAACTGACACTCAGTCAATGAATGTTTGGCAATATAGACACCCTGAATCTGCATCTCTGTAGAAGCCAGATGTTGTAAACCGGCCTACAGAGTATACTTGGGGCCTGGCAGGACTAGGTCATAGAGAAAACCATGGAAGAAATGCTTGCCCGTCATTGATCTGTTTTAAAGATGCAGTCAGTGGCTCCTGCCTTTCAGATTTGGTTGAGTAGGATGGAGGAGCAGACAGCAGCCACTCTTTCTCTGTCTGTGTGTGCTGCCATAAACATACCCTATTTTCTACACCCTCCCCCCAACCACCCTTTTTTGGTTTTCTCCCCCACTCCTTCCTTGTATTTATCCTATCTTATTCCCTTCCTCACCAATTTTTCTCTCCTTTTCGTAGTCCCTCCCACTATTGTCATAGTTCCATATTGCTGAATTCGGGCAATTCGGGTACTTAATTAGAATAAAGGGGAGGGACCTAATGTCTCCCCCTGGGCCCCAGCGGCAGGTGGGGCCCTAAATACTAATAAGGGGGGGACCTAATGTCCTCCCGCCTGGCCCCCACCCCTGAGAAGTGGGTGGGGCCCTAACTACCAATGGGGGGATCCTAATGTCCGTCTCGGCCCCCACCCCTGAGCGGTGGGTGGGGGCCTTAAGTACAACCTAGTTGTACTCAGATTTAGTCTCTCTCTCTGCTTACCTGATATAAGTGGGAACGGATTCTATTTTACACTTCTTGCCCTGCTTTATGTATTTTACATGTTTGTTCGTCCACCCACTGTAAAGCGCTATGGAATTTGTTGGCGCTTTATAAATAGTAACAATAAAATCTCACAACTAAAGATTCAACTAAACAAAACTACAATTTTTTTTTTTTTTTTTTTTTTTTTACAAATAAGTAAATATCTATAGAAAGAGAGAGATAGTTTGCCCCCATTACCAGGGAAGGGCACCAGTATACTCCTACCATCATAACCACTACAGTGAACTGCTGTGGTTAGAATGGTTGGAGTAACCCTTTAATAAATCTAATGCCAACACATTTCTTTTCCATATGCAGAAACTCACAGATGACTTATAGGACACTGCTGGTTTCTGAATCACAGTTTGAGAACAAGGACCTACGTGAACTAGAAAACAGTTAAAGTCATACATAAATTTAAGGTGTGCCACTAACAAAAGGAACACACAAAGCCAGATCTCCCTGGTTTAAAATTTACCCTTTTTAAAGCATCACATTTATCATCAAATTGTGAAGCTACTGAGACTTTTTTTTGTAGTAAGATCTAAACAGGAACAAACCGACCTCACACATTACGCAAAGCGAGAACATTTTTCTTTTAGTGTAGTAAGCTTGTTAATGAAGTGCGAACTGGTATTACAAGGTCTCTGGACTTACAAACAAGTTTACTCATTTCTTGCATTGACATATGCATGGCCAATCAATTAGTTCTTAATGGTGTGTATAGCAAAGCTTGTTGACTAAAACAATGTTAAACTATTAGAACTCTCTCAGCACTCGGAGTCTGGACCAACTGGTTGGACTGGCAAGCCATACACCCAGAAACTCATTATAAACAACTGCCACCAATTAATTACACCAGTGTTCAACAAATCACTTTTTGGGCTAAAACTGGATGTTATAATCCTGCAAAAAAGTATTCTCAGTATCGTGCTATACTATTATGATAAAAAGCCACACCCAGCAAACTTTAACAATATACATACAGAAAAATCATCTTCCTGGAGTAAATTGTTATTTTGTCCGATTATAATTTCGAGTGCAGTTATACCTATAAACTCTATGAGCAACTTTATTATCAGTGACAGTTTGATACATAACATGTTTATGTTATCACTGCCTGGTGGAGTGGCTAATTGTCTTGATCATCGGGTTCTGCTTTAGGCTGTTCACAAGGACTCTTGGTGCATTACTGTCATATCAATGTCAAGCATAGACGCACAAATGCCAATGCCAACAGTACACTACTTGACACACATGCCCTATAAAATGATGGCTGCAAAACTGGTGCAGCCAGTTCACGGCCTTGACTTTCCAGAGCTTAATTTTTAACATGCCAATAGCTAGTAGAAATTTTGAGCACTGAGTTTGCTATACCCCCGTCGAATTTGACCCATTGAAATGTCTATATCCCAGGTTCTTGTAATTTCTGTGGATTTCCAACCATCATGGATGTCTTGAAAACCTAATCCCACTTCTATGCCAACTCAAAAGATAGCGCTTGCATGGGTATGCACTATACTTACAAAAGGGTACTTCCTCACCAAACAAAGGGTTCCTTACTCTGAATTTCACTTGCACATGTTCATATGGTCATGAACCGATGGCCCGAGGCTCTGGGGGGACCGCCTGCGGTGCTGGAAAGTAACATCCAGGCTGGGGAGTTAAAAATCTCCCCAGCCAACCTACAGTCAGTTAGGGGCCCGCATGACCCTTGAACAAACAAACATTCACAATACAGATAGTAATAATAAAAGATTTTAAAAAAACGTTCTGGAAAGAAGAGAGTTCTGCTTGTTTTTATCTTTTAGTAAATCATTTGGTTTGTTGTGAATGCATACTACCCTTAGGTGGGGTGATCGCTTTTTAATTTAATGTATAGGTAAATTCTAAAACATAGTGATGAATGGAACATCGTTATCAAAATAATCAAGTAATTGTAGTGAATTAGACCCTCCTATTGTTCCGTAACACCATAAAGTAAGGTGTATAAAAGATTTAAGATGGATGGCGGAGACAGTTGACAGTCAACTGAAAAACTATTATCTCACAAAAGAAGCATATGATCCTCTGCACCCACTATAGCGTATATTACACCCATACCTCCACTATAGCCCCTATTTTCCCCTACCCCCACTATAGTCTCAATTACTTCCTGTCCTCACTGCAGCTCCTATGCCACCGGCATCCATTATCGTCTTGCCCCTAATGCAGCCCACATGTCTGCTACACACACTACAGCCCCTATAGCCCCCTGCAGCCATTAAAGCCCCTATTAACCCCTCCACGACCTTTATCCCCCAGCATCCACTTTGGCCACTATCCCTCCCCTAAACCCACTATCCCCTCTGAGATTACTACTGTGGTCTCTTGATAGTAATTTAAATCAGGGCTCGATAAATCCCAGGCGCCAGGTCGCCATGGCAACTGAGAATTTTTTCGTGTCACCTTGGATTTTTCAGTCCTTCCCTTCCTCCTCCTGTCTATCTCTGCGCACCAGGAGGAAATGAAGGTAACTGTAACTACTTCCTCTTGACACTGAGACCACATAGGACAAGCTGACAGAGAAACAGGTTGAGATGTCTCTGGCCGCAGAGCCGCCCACCCGACCGCCCATTCTGCAGAGCCACCTGCATGACCCGCTCATTCAGCAGAGGCTCCCACCGGCCCACCCATTCCCCTGCACTAGTTTAGTGCCAGGAGGAAGTAGTTAAGTTCCTTTCACTTCCTCCCAGCGCACTGAGATACCGGAGAGTGGGAGTCTGGATCAACAACAGCCCACTCCTATCAGCTGCATCCATCACCACTGTAACCTGCGCCTAGTCCCACTGGACCCAAGGAAAGCCTCTCCTGCGTCCACAAGGTAGGTAAGAGGGTAGTGGTAATATATGTATTTTTCTGTGTGTATGTGTATTTGTCTATGTGTATCTATGAATATATGAATATGTGTGTGTGTGTGTGTGTGAGAGAAATGAAAAAATACACACTAAAGTGTGTGAGATAATATGTGTCAGTAAATGTGTGTACATATATCTGTGAGTGTCTCATTCTGTATGTGTGTATCCGTCGGTCAGTGCATGTACATGTTTAAGTCACGTGGGAATGGTGTTTTTACTTACCTTTTTTCCAATGACGTGTCCATCTCGCTGCAGCTGGCACGCCTCCATAGCGGAGATAATCAATTTTGATCTCAGCCAATCCTATTTAGCATGCGCAGCAAAATGCTGCACCAATCCACATCTCCTCATAGAGATTCTTTAAATCAATGCATCTCTATGGTTCAGCTCCTCTATGGAGAGCATTGTGATGCTGAATAAGGATAGGAGACACTTTAGTGTCTAGATAGCAGAAACTTTAGTTAGGAGTTAGTTTTTTTTTTTCCCAACAACAAATATACAATTCTGAAAGGAACAGGCTCTAGCCACCAGAGCCATTACATTAAGCTACAGTGGTTCTGGTAACTATATAGTGTTCATTTAAGAATTGTATTTTGGTTAGTGAAAAAAACTGGCTCCTAACTTTTTAAGCTGGCTCCCATATTTAAAGCAAAGCAAATACTACAGCTCATTGAGGTCATCTGGGTGCAGTGTCCCAGGTCCCTTAATCCTGCAATGGTAATTACTGCAGTTTTTGATAAACTGCAATAATTACCTTCAAGGGTAAACTACATCTCTAGACAACCACTAGAGGAACTTCTGAGTGGTTAGGAGACTTTTGGTTGCCTGACGCTGGACGTCCTCACGCTATGTGTCAGTGTCACCCAAAACTCCATAGGAAAGCATCATACAATGAGAGGCAGAGACTGAACCAGCACCGAGCAACAGTGGCGCTAGAATCAGGTACGTGACAGAAGGTGTTTTTAACTGTGGGGAGCTACAGTGCCGGGAAAATAACTTTGGTATTCTGGCACTATAGTTTCCCTTTAACTATACTCTGATTCCACATATCTGGACACGACACACATACCTACATATATTCACTTACAATGTGACTCAGTGAATATACACACAAAAGCATGCATTCACTTCACATACAATCAAATACACAGTACATCTACACCAGCATATATATTGGTGTGCAGCGAGCCCAGGCTATTGTCAGTCCGTCCCTGTGTGGAGAAGGAAAACAAAACATATAATTAAGTCACACATTTGTGTTTGTGAATGCAGTTCCCATGATTTAAAGAGCTTTAT